GGTCACAGACAGCTGCTATGGTCACAGACAGCTGCTATGGTCACAGACAGCTGCTATGGTCACAGACAGCTGCTATGGTCACAGACAGCTGCTATGGTCACTGACAGCTGCTATGGTCACAGACAGCTGCTATGGTCACAGACAGCTGCTATGGTCACAGACAGCTGCTATGGTCACAGACAGCTGCTATGGTCACTGACAGCTGCTATGGTCACTGACAGCTGCTATGGTCACTGACAGCTGCTATGGTCACTGACAGCTGCTATGGTCACAGACAGCTGCTATGGTCACTGACAGCTGCTATGGTCACAGACAGCTGCTATGGTCACAGACAGCTGCTATGGTCACTGACAGCTGCTATGGTCACTGACAGCTGCTATGGTCACTGACAGCTGCTATGGTCACAGACAGCTGCTATGGTCACTGACAGCTGCTATGGTCACAGACAGCTGCTATGGTCACTGACAGCTGCTATGGTCACTGACAGCTGCTATGGTCACAGACAGCTGCTATGGTCACTGACAGCTGCTATGGTCACTGACAGCTGCTATGGTCACAGACAGCTGCTATGGTCACTGACAGCTGCTATGGTCACTGACAGCTGCTATGGTCACTGACAGCTGCTATGGTCACTGACAGCTGCTATGGTCACAGACAGCTGCTCAGTACAAGGGAGTGAGGGATGGTAGGGAGGACGAGGGGACGAGGGAGTGAGGGATGGTAGGGAGGACGAGGGGACGAGGGAGTGAGGGATGGCAGGGAGGACGAGGGGACGAGGGAGTGAGGGATGGTAGGGAGGACGAGGGGACGAGGGAGTGAGGGATGGTAGGGAGGACGAGGGGACGAGGGAGTGAGGGATGGTAGGGAGGACGAGGGGACGAGGGAGTGAGGGATGGCAGGGAGGATGAGGGGACGAGGGAGTGAGGGATGGTAGGGAGGACGAGGGGACGAGGGAGTGAGGGATGGCAGGGAGGACGAGGGGACAAAGCAGCGTTACTGTGGCTGGGAATAGCTACGTACGTCATAAAAACGTTCTAACAAGACATAAACAATTTATTACACTATATAACAAGCGGACAATAGCCACAATTACAATGTGTGTTCGCGAAGAACGATTAATATATTTTCTTCCATAAATCTATTAAGTCTAATACCGAGCCAACATTTACCAAGTCAATAACTAACTCTAAACCTGTTCATTTGGTGTATCATAATATATCTGCCTAACCGGCCAAATGTCACGGAATAATATGGTATATTCTCGTATTTGTCTTTCTGAACTACGCAGTGAAAACTGTCTGAAGGTAACTTATTATAACACAAGTTATAGGTTGTAGGTTGATACGGGGGAGAAGCTGTTACCCATGCAGCAGGTCTATATGGAGGAGAAGCTGTTACCCATGCAGCAGGTCTATATGGAGGAGAAGCTGTTACCCATGCAGCAGGTCAATATGGAGGAGAAGCTGTTACCCATGCAGCAGGTCTATATGGAGGAGAAGCTGTTACCCATGCAGCAGGTCAATATGGAGGAGAAGCTGTTACCCATGCAGCAGGTCAATATGGAGGAGAAGCTGTTACCCATGCAGCAGGTCAATATGGAGGAGAAGCTGTTACCCATGCAGCAGGTCAATATGGAGGAGAAGCTGTTACCCATGTAGCAGGTCAATATGGAGGAGAAGCTGTTACCCATGCAGCAGGTCAATATAGAGGAGAAGCTGTTACCCATGCAACAGGTCTATATGGAGGAGAAGCTGTTACCCATGCAGCAGGTCTACATGGAGGAGAAGCTGTTACCCATGCAGCAGGTCTATATGGAGGAGAAGCTGTTACCCATGCAGCAGGTCAATATGGAGGAGAAGCTGTTACCCATGCAGCAGGTCTATATGGAGGAGAAGCTGTTACCCATGCAGCAGGTCTATATGGAGGAGAAGCTGTTACCCATGCAGCAGGTCTATATGGAGGAGAAGCTGTTACCCATGCAGCAGGTCTATATGGAGAAGCTGTTACCCATGCAGCAGGTCAATATGGAGGAGAAGCTGTTACCCATGCAACAGGTCTATATGGAGGAGAAGCTGTTACCCATGCAGCAGGTCTACATGGAGGAGAAGCTGTTACCCATGCAGCAGGTCTATATGGAGGAGAAGCTGTTACCCATGCAGCAGGTCAATATGGAGGAGAAGCTGTTACCCATGCAGCAGGTCTATATGGAGGAGAAGCTGTTACCCATGCAGCAGGTCTATATGGAGGAGAAGCTGTTACCCATGCAGCAGGTCTATATGGAGGAGAAGCTGTTACCCATGCAGCAGGTCTATATGGAGAAGCTGTTACCCATGCAGCAGGTCTATATGGGGGAGAAGCTGTTACCCATGCAGCAGGTCAATATGGAGGAGAAGCTGTTACCCATGCAGCAGGTCTATATGGAGAAGCTGTTACCCATGCAGCAGGTCTATATGGGGGAGAAGCTGTTACCCATGCAGCAGGTCAATATGGAGAAGCTGTTACCCATGCAGCAGGTCAATATGGAGGAGAAGCTGTTACCCATGCAGCAGGTCTATATGGAGAAGCTGTTACCCATGCAGCAGGTCAATATGGAGGAGAAGCTGTTACCCATGCAGCAGGTCTATATGGAGAAGCTGTTACCCATGCAGCAGGTCTATATTGAGAAGCTGTTACCCATGTAGCAGGTCTATATGGAGAAGCTGTTACCCATGCAACAGGTAAATATTGAGGAGAAGCTGTTACCCATGCAGCAGGTCTATATGGAGGAGAAGCTGTTACCCATGCAGCAGGTCAATTTGGAGGAGAAGCTGTTACCCATGCAGCAGGTCAATATGGAGGAGAAGCTGTTACCCATGCAGCAGGTCTATATGGGGGAGAAACTGTTACCCATGCAGCAGGTCAATATGGAGAAGCTGTTACCCATGCAGCAGGTCAATATGGAGGAGAAGCTGTTACCCATGCAGCAGGTCTATATGGAGAAGCTGTTACCCATGCAGCAGGTCTATATTGAGAAGCTGTTACCCATGCAGCAGGTCTATATGGAGAAGCGGTTACCCATGCAGCAGGTAAATATTGAGGAGAAGCTGTTACCCATGCAGCAGGTCTATATGGAGGAGAAGCTGTTACTCATGCAGCAGGTCAATATGGGGGAGAAGCTGTTACCCATGCAGCAGGTCTATATGGAGGAGAAGCTGTTACCCATGCAGCAGGTCTATATGGAGGAGAAGCTGTTACCCATGCAGCAGGTCTATATGGAGGAGAAGCTGTTACCCATGCAGCAGGTCAATATGGAGGAGAAGCTGTTACCCATGCAGCAGGTCAATATGGAGAAGCTGTTACCCATGCAGCAGGTCTATATGGGGGAGAAGCTGTTAGCCGTGCAGCAGGCCAATATGGAGAAGCTGTTACCCATGCAGCAGGTCAATATGGAGGAGAAGCTGTTACCCATGCAGCAGGTCTATATGGAGAAGCTGTTACCCATGCAGCAGGTCTATATTGTGAAGCTGTTACCCATGCAGCAGGTTTATATGGAGAAGCTGTTACCCATGCAGCAGGTAAATATTGAGGAGAAGCTGTTACCCATGCAGCAGGTCTATATGGAGGAGAAGCTGTTACCCATGCAGCAGGTCAATATGGGGGAGAAGCTGTTACCCATGCAGCAGGTCTATATGGAGGAGAAGCTGTTACCCATGCAGCAGGTCTATATGGAGAAGAAGCTGTTACCCATGCAGCAGGTCAATATGGATGAGAAGCTGTTACCCATGCAGCAGGTCTATATGGAGGAGAAGCTGTTACCCATGCAGGAGGTCTATATGGTGGAGAAGTTGTTACCAATGCAGCAGGTCAATATGGTGGAGAAGCTGTTACCCATGCAGCAGGTCTATATGGAGGAGAAGCTGTTACCCATGCAGCAGGTCTATATGGAGGAGAAGCTGTTACCCATGCAGCAGGTCTATATGGAGGGAGAAGCTGTTACCCATGCAGCAGGTCAATATGGAGGAGAAGCTGTTACCCATGCAGCAGGTCAATATGGAGGAGAAGCTGTTACCCATGCAGCAGGTCTATATGGAGGAGAAGCTGTTACCCATGCAGCAGGTCAATATGGAGGAGAAGCTGTTACCCATGCAGCAGGTCTATATGGAGGAGAAGCTGTTACCCATGCAGCAGGTCAATATGGGGGAGAAGCTGTTACCCATGCAGCAGGTCAATATGGAGGAGAAGCTGTTACCCATGCAGCAAGTCTATAAGGTGCGCGCATAAATATATCAAATTAACTGATTCAGTATTTGCGTATTTGCTCATTACTGAGTGATGGCGCTCAAGCGGGAACTTGAAGAACAGGTCAAACTTGAGTGCCGGCGGGAACATTGCCAGTGAACGAGTCTCGTGGAACATTATTTGTTCAGTTGAACATAAGTAAATCACCAATATGTTCTCCGATGAACAGCTTGTAATAACGCCTTAGCAAGACGAACTATATTCCCTTCAGAACTTGTTCTAGAACTCTAGAACACTCTAAAACTAGAACTCTAGAACTCTCTTAAGCTAGAGCTCTAGAACTCTCTTAAACTAGAACTCTAGAACTCTCTTAAGCTAGAAATACACCATTCAACACAGCCATAGAAGTAATTAGTGAATGCATCAGTGTTTACAAACACACACACACACGTGGCGGCGGGCACGTGGAGTCATGTTTACAAACACACGCACGTGGACACGTGGTGGTGGCGGGCACGTGGAGTTTTGTTTACAAACAGTCACACGTGGACACGTGGTGGCGGGCACATGGAGTTTTGTTTACAAACAGTCACACGTGGACACGTGGTGACGGGCACATGGAGTCATGTTTACAAACAAACGCACGTGGACACGTGGTGGCAGGTACATGGAGTTATGTTTACAAACAAACGCACGTGGACACGTGGCGGCGGGCACATGGAGTCATGTTTACAAACAAACGCACGTGGACACGTGGTGGTGGCGGGCACGTGGAGTTATGTTTACAAACACACGCACGTGGACACGTGGTGGCGGGCACATGGAGTTTTGTTTACAGTCACACGTGGACACGTGGTGGCATGCTGATTGGAGAGCATGCTGATTGGAGAGCATGCTGATTGGAGAGCATGCTGATTGGAGAGCATGCTGATTGGAGAGCATGGTGATTGGGGAGCATGGTGATTGGAGAGCATGGTGATTGGAGAACATGGGGATTGGAGAGCATGGTGATTGGAGAGCATGGGGATTGGAGAGCATGGGGATTGGAGAGCATGGGGATTGGAGAGCATGGTGATTGGAGAGCATGGTGATTGGAGAGCATGGTGATTGGAGAGCATGGTGATTGGAGAGCATGGTGATTGGGGAGCATGCTGATTGGAGAGCATGCTGATTGGAGAGGATGGGGATTGGAGAGGATGGGGATTGGAGAGCATGCTGAATGGAGAGCATGCTGATTGGAGAGCATGGTGATTGGAGAACATGGGGATTGGACAGCATGGTGATTGGAGAGCATGCTGATTGGAGAGCATGCTGATTGGAGAGCATGCTGATTGGAGAGCATGGGGATTGGAGAGCATGCTGATTGGAGAGCATGCTGATTGGAGAGCATGCTGATTGGAGAGCATGCTGATTGGAGAGCATGGGGATTGGAGAGCATGCTGATTGGAGAGCATGGTGATTGGAGAGCATGGGGATTGGAGAGCATGCTGATTGGAGAGCAT